CTTAACCGAATCGGCCTAAAAATCATTCGGCTAATTTTTATCAGGTGTTTCAGGAATTATGATAATAGCTGTAATAATAACGATAATAATTTTTGTATGTCGGTCGGTTATGAGATCCGGTTAAGTAAAATCTCAGATCAGACTTTAAACAGCGATTACGTAACCGATCGTGGTGGTTATGCTGGGGGGTTCGAGCCGTTAACCGGTCGGACCAGCCGTTTGCATCTCTACCCTATGAGTTGTACCCGGGGGTAAGAATTATATTCACATCCGCATGCTATTCGCTTCGAAGAATATCTAGCTGGTGTAAAACATTGAAGACTGGTAAAGTTGAATGAGAAATCTTTGTAAATATCCGGATACATCAGGTGGCATCTTTGTCCCGTTTGTATTTTTTTTTATATTTACAACAAAAGAAATTAAAGTCGAACTCTATATAGGATAACGTGGGTAAATAAACCGTTTCCTACGCAGTAAGTAGAAGGAAATGAACCAACGCAGCGTACACATGATATAATTCTGCCGTACAGTATTATAACTCCAGTTAATGCTGAGCATATGAGATCATATGTTTACTATGTCATTTTCCCATCCATAATTTGAGCTGGTATTATAAAATTTACAAAATTTCTCCTATTACATAATTTATTTCATGAGCACGGACGTTAATTATAATTCTATTTACAGGTCGATATTTGCTATAATGGACCCTTAATGAATCTTGGATATTAAAATTTTATCCTTCAGTATAGAAAATAGTCTGGGCTTTAGACAACATAGTAATTTTGTATAATCTTTTTTTTTTCTCTGAATCATCGTTATTACTTAAACGTGCCTATTTGTTCAGAAATGAAGATTAAGAGTTTGCATTTCGTTGTTTTCGTTCATTAAAAAAAAGGTTGGAAAGTAGTTTCAAACAAATAAAAAAAAAAAAGACTTTTCAGGGGATTATAGGTCCAAAAATCATGTAACTGCACCTTCGACTGAGAGTTCTGTAACTACGTTCTGTACGTTAGGACTTTTTCTCAACTCGACGGATTGGCGAAATTTAATTAAGATCCAATTTGTAATTCGAGGGTAATTAGATAAACGCCATATTCCATAAATCAGCCTGTAGGACTTTTTGGGCATTTATTTGATCGATAACGATAATATTTGTAATATGAATTAAGTAATTTGAATTATTTAACAAGTCCTATTCTGGTCAGATACTGGTTAATGATCATCTAATGAATAACTATATTATCTAAAATTAAAAACACTATCAGCCAATGCCGACTTGTGTTGAATACACGACAGCTCAAGATTTGATCATGATGTAAACTCGTGAACAGTACGCACTTATTTACGTAATGCAACAATAAAAAAAAAAAAAAAAAATAGTATAGTTTGTGGAAGATGGCATCCGTGTAACTTTTGTTAGTATATATAGATGATGTTTCTCACAAATGTTAATATTTGTTACTTGGTAATTAAACGATGGCTCCGATTATCTTTATAATTTTTTCGTTATTTATACATGGTTATGGACTTTGTCACTTTTCTTATAGAATCGGTAAATTTTTTTTTTTAATATCTAATTATTTCTTTCATTAAATTTATTTAACCCTTTCTTCTATTTGTATAAATAGGATCAAGAACAAAATGTGTAGGTCATCGAGGCTACCCTGCCAAGTATCCTGAAAATACCTTTGTATCTCTTGAGCAAGCAATAAATATTGGAGCTGAGGGAATCGAATCAGATGTTCGATTGACGAAAGACGGCCAAGTAATAATGATGCATGATACTACACTCGATAGAACGACTAATGGCACAGGAAGTGTCGACGAAAGATATTGGAATGGATATATTGAATATCTAGTAACTGAAAATAATGAAAAGGTACCAAAGTTACAAGAAGTCCTAGATTTATTGAAGTGTAAAAAAAATAAAAAATATTTTTTTTATAATGGATGTAAAGGTACGAATTTTTAGAAAGGAGTAATTCCTCGCATAATTGAGCAGTATAACATTTTTTTTTGTTAATCAAAATTTAAATAGGAAGACAATAATATAAACATTCTCGACGCGATCGCCGATGTAATATACGCTAACAAACCTTACAATTTTCAATCTCAAATATATCTCGGCGTTTGGACTTACGACTTCTTAATTAGAGCTCGCAAAGTATTACCACATCTTCCAGTCGTATATATAGGGAGCAATATTTCGGTTGCTCGTAATCAATTTTTCGATAAAGTTGAAAGCTATAACATGGAATATACTTATATACTCGAAGATACAACAGGATTTTTTTCTCAAATAAGAAATAATGGTAGAAAATTGTTTGTTTGGACAGTGGACGCTGAAAATGATATGAAAAGTTTGTTTTCGTATGGCGTCGATGCGATACTATCCAATGATCCAGTAAAATGTCTTAGTGTTAGAAAAAAGGTTGAAGGATTAAAAATGTATTGGAAATCAACTAAAAAATTTCTGCGTACTTATTTTTCCCCTAATAGGAACTAAGTCAACTTTCTTTTATTTGTGAATATATTATTATAAATAACTTTTTAATAAAAAAGGTTAAGCAAAGAAAAAAAAAATTACATATTGTTATACTATTTTTATATATAAATAGTAATTCGTTCCAACATATTTGTGAAATATCTATTAGCTTTACTGTAAGGTGTTGTTTAGAAATTCGAAAAGTTTAATTCTTTTTTTTTTTTTTCAATTGTAAAAGAAAATTATAATTTTTAGGGTCAGAGGTTATAATTGTGAGAAATGACTTTGATAATACTGAGCACTTTAACTGGAGTAATTAGTTTAATTTTTTTGAGATTTTTTTTGCTATTTAATGATATATGAACATGTGCTAAGTTAGTCAGAATTATATATTTATCCGACATGTCTTATGTGAACGCCGAACGATTTTTGTGTATGTTATTCGGTCACCTACTAATACAATACACAAATTTTCATCACCTCTCAAGAGGTGAATGAAAATTTGTGTATTTATATTAGAAGGAGGCCCGAATAAGATACACGAAAATCGTTCGGTGTTTACGCCAGATAAGCGTGTTATTGGTCAAATTGTGTCCGATAATCGCTGATTTATTCACAGCAGATACCGCATTATAATGTGACCTTCGGCCACGTCATAAAAACAGTATAATCCACAACATGACCAATAACAAGTACTCATCATATTTTGAAGCGCTAAATATTTTTATTATAATTAAAATATTATAAATTTATGATTATACAATCTAATTAAACAAACTATCTAGTATAGCGCTACATACAATAATCCTTTGAAAAAGTATCCCTTTTAAATAGCGTCGGGTTGTGGATTCTAACATTTTTGAAAAGTATCCTGGTAATAATCAGGTAGCTCGATACGATTATTAATACTCTCTTCAGTATACCCTTTGTAAAATATATTTTTTAAATTGTAATATAAAACAAATCTGGGAATATTTTTTAGAAATTTAAAATTCTTAATAAATCTTAAATATTAATTGTGATATAATATTTTTATTTAAAAATATTTTTTAAAATAGATATCTTTTAAAATATAAGATTATATTTTATTACCTTTATTAAAAAAAAATTTATATAATAAGTTTTAAAATTAAACTATAAAATTTATATATTTTAAAGCCAAATTTTATTTTTAATATAATTTTATAATTGAAAAATCACGAACTCTTCCCAATAATCTCTTGTACCAAAATCACAGCAAACTTTTTTTCAAAAAAAAACAGTAAACTATGGTAGAAAAGAAGGAAATAAGACTGGTCAAAACCATAAACCGGCACCTGTTATTTAGA